CCTCCGGCCCAGCCCCAGACCAGCTCCAGCACAGCCCCAGACCAGCTCCTGCCCAGCCCTAGGCTTTAAAACTTTTCTCTTGTTTCAGCGGAAAATTTTAATGCGATTTCCATTGGCCTCGCTGGGGACACGCATCTGATTTTGATTCAGATTCAAATTCGAATCAGTTTTTGCATTTTCTGGGCAGACAAAGACTCCATTTTAAGGAGGGGTGGGAAGGTCCTGCAAGACGCCATTTGCATGAGAATTAATAGAGACTCCTTTAGAGGACTAGAGCCATGGAAGTATCACAATACTCGACTCGACAGTTGGCTCTCCGCGAGGAAAGTGCTTTCAAGTGAAAGAAATCCTTAAAAAAAAAAGTGAAAGAGGGAGCTGGGATCCGGCGACACCTTTTCTTTTGTGAATAATTCAATTTGCGGCACTTGACAGCTTCAAAAGGTTGACATAATTCATTTTTTTACAACTGAACCTCGACCCCACGTCCTGCCACCCTTTCGGGGGGTTTACTTAAGCATTTGAGGGGCGACTTTAAATGCTCGAGTGAGTTTTTCGCAGCTCACTTTCAATTCTTGAGTCGGCGACACCTTAATGGGCCACCGAGCAGGACCAACGTGCCAGGACCAAGGCCGAAGGACCCGCCCGGCATCAGTTTCTTAATTACAGACCCAGGCTACCCAGCCATCCCTTCTTTTTTTTTTTTGTTGTGATTCAACGATGAGAAAACTGAAAATTGCTCTCAATTAACTTGTTAGTGGCTTGTTTTTTTCACAGCCCCCTGCCCTCTCCTGGCCCCACCGGAAAAAAGGGTTAAAGGCCATTACAGGAACGCCTCATCGAACTCGATGCTTCCCTCCATTTCCCAGCAGAAACTTTTAATTTCGGAAATTTATAAAAAAAAAAGATAGAAGGGGAAGTGACCACAAAAAACCGACAAAAAAGGGTGGAGAATATAAAACAGCAAAATAAATAATTAAGATAAACAAACAAAGAAAGAAAAGGCGAAAAAATATACATCAGACTTGTCATTAAAAACATTTGGAGGCCCTCGTGGGCCGGCCCGGAATTAATTAAATAAATTAGAATGTGTCCGAAATTAGAATTGAAATGGAGGACTTTTGGTCGGAATAATTAACCAAGGAGGAGCGGAGGTCAAAGGTCAAGAAGTCGGAGTTCAAATGCATCGCAGCCGCCAGAGCTAAGAAATATAGACTCTCTGTGTGGCACTTGTGTCTGTCAGTGGCAGCCAACCCGACAAAAGCTGTCACAGTCGTTTTGCTGAAAACATTTCAAAAAGGTCCTTTAATAATTCATGCGCCCGGCAGTATCCTGATTTCAGATTTCAGATTCCCGGACGAGTGTCCTGCTCAATCCTAGTTTGTAAATGCAAATTCATATTGTTGTTTATTTGTTTGTTTGTCAATTTCAATTTATGAATATTTAATAAACAAGTTACCGAGCCACTGAGTCCTGTTCTCTCCACTTCTGTGAAAGTTTAATTAAACAAATAATCACATTTGTTTGGTTAGTTTTTTCTGAGAATTAATCTGAAATTGTAGTATTTTTAATAAACTACATAAGCTAGATTGTTTTTTTTTTTTAAATAATTTTTTCTTCACTTTTTTCGCCAGTTTTGGGCAAAGGACACTCCTCCTTCCTGATTGCACTTTGTGTCAATGTTATGCACATCAGAATCACTGGCACAAAGCAAAGCAAAGGCAAAATGTCAATAGCAGGCCCCCAGCAGCGGCAGTGTCTTTGCCGTCTCCGGCAGGACCTCCTTGGAGGTGGAATCGCAGGACCCCGAAGAGGGCCAGGCACACGCTACTTAGCCCGCAAAATTGCCGACTCCGGCATTTTCCATGTGCGTGGCATTACCCGTTTTTCCTATCTACTCCTTCCTGACCCTCTAGCCGTCTAGCCCTCTGGCCCCCCTCGTCCTTGCCGGTTTTTCCCTTATTTTCCAGGCTCTCCCAAGTTGGTTGGCAAACTCCTTGCTCAGTTGTTTGCATTGCAGCGGCAGATGCTGTCAATAATAAATTTCCGCTAGAGCCGCAGCAGATTTGCAAAAGGGGGAGGGGGGGGGACTCTTGAGATGGCGGCACGTACACCAAAAAAAAAAAAGCGCTGTTGAAATGCAGAATATATAAAGCTTTCATTGAGATACAATGAGTAATAGTTGTCTTCAGGACTTCAACAGTGCGTATACTTAATATCCCACTGTTCTCCCAAATATTAAGTATACGCCCTGTTCTACCTCCTACTTTGGAAAAACAAAACTATTATTCTCAGTGCAGACTCCAGCCCAGTGGGTGGGGCAGGAAGGAAGCACATAAGCGCATTGCCCAAGAAGACAAGAAGGAGATTGAGGAAAAGGAAGAAGATTGCAGCTCGGCACTAAAAAGATGACATAAAGATACAGCCGGGCGGGTGTTGAAATTGAATAGGGGTAACGAAGCGTCAGTCTGACGGGGGCAAAGGAGTCAACAGCGGCAAGGATGGGTAATGGGTGACGGCAATGGGTGGTGGATGGCAAAAAAAAAAGGACGAATCAGGCACTGCAGGCATGCAAACGATGCGCTGTCGCCTGATAAAGTATATGCGATATAACGTATACGACCGATTGGCCGTTTCTGCTCGACGGGGCCAGAAGGAAAAATCGCAGACGACTGGGATGCAAATGGCAAAAAAGGACCAAGAACAAGGATGGGGACGAGGACGAGGAGGGAAAAAGGAAATGCAGGATGTGAAATGGCAATAGGGGTGAGGAAAGGGGAGCCAAGGAGTTGGAAAAGGACAGCTCAGCGGGCGACACGTTGATAAATTTATTGAAATTCTATTGAAACGAAACGATTTGACTGCAGCAAGGAGCAGAGACAGAGACAACAGATGCCAGATGAAATGGCAACAGTGGCGGGTGGTGGATGGTGGGGGGAGGGGGTGTGCGGACACAAATCGCTGATAAAGTGGAAAATGAGTGAAAAACAAAAAAAAGAGAGTGTCGTAAATTGCAAATAAATTGCAGCTTGCCGTTGAAGGATATCACATGCTATCACACACACACACACACACATATACACACCAGCACTGCAGGGAAGTCCTTACAGAGAAAGAAAACTTTCTTCATTCGGTTAGTGCTCAGTTTTGGGCAATTAAACTTTCCCAATTGCATAAATTCGAGAAAATCCCGACCAACTTTGCACTTAATTTTTAATTTTCTTTCGCTCCGACCTCCGACCTACGACCTCTGACCTCCCTCGGACGGCGCTGGACAGGCGATGCTCAATTTAACCTGGCCAGAAAGCAACAAGCCAAATGCTCCATTGCGTTTCGCAGTAAAAAAAAAGTACAACAAACGGGAAAAAAAAAAACAGGAAAAACAAAAAGTCGAAGGAGAAAATCTCGGCAAGTCGGCTCATTTCTGTAGCATACTTAAGGGGGGCGGCAGAAGAAAGCGATAAAAAAAAGCAGCTAAAAGATAACAGAGGGTGGCCAAGAGCCCAGAGGCTGGATGGCGGCGGGGACGTGGCATAGAAAAGGCCAAATTTAATTTGTGCTCAGTGGCTGTGGCAACTTTGGGCCTGTTGTTGCCGCCGCCATGAAGAAATTGCTACCCAATTACGTAATAAAATCTGACTGAAGTTTCTACTCTTATTATTTAATTTTTTCTTTATCTTCATCTTGTCGTCTCTTTTCTTTTCTTTTTCTTCAATGAAGAACAAATTGTTTGAGGGGATTTGTTGCCGTGCATAAAAAATAAAAAAAAAAATAAGTAAAGAAAAGCATCCGAAGCTGGAAAATCCCAGCTTGGCCAGCTTGGCGCTTATTAAGAAATAATGTTGGAAAAACAAAACCCAATGGCGTCAAATCAACGTTTGTTTTGCCTCTCTTGTAATATTTGTGCCAGCAGGCATATTAAATGGCCTAAAAAGTAACAAAGTTAAATTATTAAATGTGATATGAACTTTAAATCGAGATGGTTGCTTAAAGAAAACTTCAATTCGATGGCCAAACAAACAGTCCTTTTGGCCAAAAGTCAAAGCAATACGCGAGCCAGGCTCTTGTTTCCAGGTGAAGCGGTTATGAATCCTAGCTGATTCCTCAGGTACATCAGTACATTAGAAGCAAAAAGAATAAATATAAAAAAATATATAAAGTTTATCAAATGTAGCAGTCTTTGGGAGAAAAACGCAATGAAAGTAACGACCATAAAGAAAAACCAAGGAAATGAAGCGTTAAACGAGCCAGTCAGCTGATAAAAAATGCATAGAAAGAAAAATTGACTAAAACTTAAATATCTCCAAAGCCATAATTGTTTTTTTTTTGTTGGCTTACATATACATTTCATTTAAAGCCAAAATCTCAAGAAAAATCCTCCGCTGACTTCGGGTTTCTCATTATCGAAATATATATATTTTCTCTGCAATGGCCAATCAATGTGCAATCTTCTCAGTGCCATTAAGTGTATCTGTATCCTGTGAAAGTAGCTATACCCCAATGTCTGTGTGGGTCTGTGTGTGTGCCAAAAGCAATAATCATAAAGAACCGTCAAACGCTTTGTTTTTGTTCCTTCTACAGAATTGAGGCAATAATGCTGAATGGAAAAAAAAAAAACCGAGCAAGGAAGAATACAAGAGATGCGAAGGAAAAGTCTGAGTTGGCTTGCGATTATTTTGCCATTACTTTCCATTATTTTACTTTATTTCAATGACTGTTTACATTAGGCACTCGCACACACTCACACCCTCGCACACACACACACACACACACACTTGAGAGAAAGCAAAGAGAAAGTAGCAGATAAGTGCCTTGCATTCTTTTTTCCTTTTTTTTTTTTTGTTGTTTGCCAACTTGGTTGTGTTTGCGAGAAGAGATCCTTCAGACCCTTCTGAAGGGGGCTCTGAATACCTCTTATGGCTTTGATTTCTCATTTCATCTAGATGGTCTTTCGTAAATAATTTTATTAAAAATATATATTGTATCTTTGGTGTCCTTTGCAGGCGGAGATCTGGAGCGTGTTCATTGCCATCCTGCGCAAAAGCGTTCGCAACCTGCAGGCCTGCACAGATGTCGGCCTCATCGAGCATGTCCTTGTGCGCCTGCAGCGCTCGGAAACGGTTGTGGCAGGTGAGTTTTCAATATAAAATTTAAGGATATTATTAAAATATTAAATTTTAAAAGGATAAAAAAATGGGGAGTATTTTTTAAAGGGGCTAAAGAGTTAGGAGGTATTTTAAAATAATTCAAAAGCCTTCAGCCTTTCTTAGTTTTCTAGAATTCTGCTTAATCCCTTATAGTTCAGGTACTATATCCTATCAAATATATAGTACTATATCCTCCAAAAAACCTTCTCCTCTTCCAGAGACAATGGATCTCCCCCAAAAAAAATTGCACTATTGTTTGGCTTTGGTTTTTGAAGCGGATTCGGGGTTTGCTCTTCGGTTTTCGTCTGGCTTGGTCCGTTGAATTGCCTTTCGATTAATTTCACGCTTGTCAGCAGCACTGACACGCCCAGTTGCGCCTCCCCAGCCCCCAGTCTCCCGACCAGAAACCATTCAGAATCCTGGCGAGTAATTCCTGGGAAGGATATTACCACCACCACCACCACCGCCACCCCGGCCCCCAAAAAACAGCATGGCTGCAAATTTGCTCTTCATTAGCGACCCGCGCTAATGCCACGCCTCCTTTTTGGGGAGCACCACCCACAAGCCAACACCCACCACCCACCACCCACTACCCACCACCTCCCACATGATGCCTTGAGGATGTGCGTGCCTTTGGCTTTGATTTTGATTTTATTAAGTCAATGACACATCTGCGGTCTCCACGAACTCCCAACTGTGGTGAGGGTTCCCCTCACCCTTCATACACACACACACTCGTACATAAATCTTTTTGCACCACCCCCGTCCTCCCCACCCACAGAGCCTTCTTCATTCCGCATTTAACGAACTGTAACTGCTGTCAATTTGCAGTCGCTGACTTTTGAGCTTCGTGTGTGGCAGGGCGGTGGAAAGGGGCAGTGGGTGGTGGGTGAAGGCTGGCAGAAGGGTGGCCACAAACAAAGACATCATTTCATAAATCAACTGCAAGAAAAAGTAATTTAATGGCATATATAAAATATTATATATGTATTTTTAATCAAAATTATATTACATTTATTTAAAGTTCCTTATAAGTTTACTTTTGAGAAGTAGCCACTTTAAAAAGCCCTTCCTTGAAAACCTTTTCTTCAAGTGTACTCCTCCCTCATTTATATGTCTCTGTGTGGACACACTCTCCCATGTATGTGTGTCTCTGGCTATGTATGTGTGTCACCTGACAAATGCCAAAACGTGACACTTGCCAAGAAATTAGATAAGTTAAAAGTTCGTTGTCTTGGCCAAAGTTTAGCTTAGAGTAGCAACTTCTTGGATTTTATCTCTGTCTGAGTATCTCTCTCTCTCTCTCTATCGGTGTATGAGTGTGTGTGTTAGGGGAAAAGAAAGAAGAGCAAGAAGCAGCAGAATCAGCAGATATATTGCCTACTTTTCTGGGCTAGAAACTTAAACTTTCAACGCAACAGACACTCAGTAATTTGATAAGAGAAATTGTTGCGCTAAACGCTCTCCCCACAGTTGACAATGTTCTCACTTATTATTTATTTTTCCCGGTCCTGGTCTCTGGACTCCCCCCCTTCTCTTATCTCTTTCTATTACGGCGCCCTGTCCCTTTCTTATCCCTGATTTTTCTCCCAATGCTACTACTCCCAATGATGATGATGATGATGATGACGAGTTGGGGCCGTAAAAACTTTGGCATGCCAGGGAAAATGTAATTAAATGCTGATGAAGCTGCGGCGGGGGAGGTGAGATGGGAATTCCACACCAGAAAAGGGGGCGTGGCCTAAGCAGTGGGCAGTGAGCATCATCTGGGGAGCAACTGGGCGACATAGTCGTTTGGGGAATGCCGCAGGTCATGCTTAAAAGTGGGTGTAGCACTTGGAACAATAGGGTAGGAGCTTCAAAAAATTATTTTAAAAATGTTGGAAATTTAATAAATAAATATTTAAGAAAGTTTTTTAAAAGGAAAGTCCTTCCAGGAGATTATAAGATCGAGTCTTGAAGGAAAGAAGCTATAGTTTTGAAGGAACTAACAGTCTAAACTATGAATTTTTTAGCTTTACAGCCCTATATCTGAAAGATTTATTTATTAAGACTCTTTATATTTAAAGTCTTCTCTGTTCAGACCCCTCTTTTCTTCAAGTGCATCAAAAAACTTGGGCCAGAGCAAAGGTTGAAGCTGCCAGTTACTCAATTTCTTAATTCACGCAACCCGAAACGTGTTGATGGCGTGTGTGGGTGTGGCTATAGGGCTGGGTGGGTGTATTTGAAGAGGGGTTGGTAAATATAAGGGTTGCCGGAAGGAGGGGGTGGAGGGGGGTTTTCTTGCCAAGAGGTGAGCCAACACAGTCCGAGCATTAAAACGGCCCGAGCGTCCCATTTCAATTAGTGTGCATTACAAATGAAGTTTGGGAATAGCGCAGCGAAAGCATCCGAAGACTTGGCTCTTTCTTACCCCCAGGGGCGTGGCAGTTAGGGCGGAAGTGCGACAGAGCGAGAGGGAGTGAAAGAGTGAGAGCGAGAGGGCAATCAGTTTGAACTCCGGAATTAATAACTATTTGGCCAAGCTTTTGGCTAAAGTTGATTGAAAATACAGCGACCACAAGTTGAAGAAGGCCTGGTGGAGAGACGGAAAGAGAAGGGTAGATGCCGATAGAGAGAGATGCAGCTATTTGATGGCCGAAACGAAACTTTGCTGTCCTGTAGTCGTGCCATTAAAATTGCATAAATTATGTTACAACTCGATGCGAAACTTGGAAACTTATTTAAAGGAATCCTTGACTAAACTTTCAATGAATATCCACCGCCCTTCCTACGCCCACCTCCCCCCGGCGTGATGGCTTAATGAAGACAGGATAGTAGTTAGTAAATATTTAAGTATTTTGTAAATTGTGTTTAGTTTACTTACCGCGCTGCCCGTTAATTATTTTGCTGAAAATCCGAGAAGGCACTCGTCTCTGGCTTTGGCTTTGGGCTGACCTTCCTCTAAATTGGAATTCCATTCCGCCAGATCAAATGCAATTTCAGCCACGAAGGCCGACGCCACCGACACCGCCCACTCGTCGTGTCCTTGCCGCTTGGCTGGGCGCGAGGACTTTGGCTGCATTTGCATTTGAATCCTACCACCTGGGCCTCTCTGTATCTCTGATTCTCTCCGGATTAATTGTATCCCTTTCTGTGGTTTATTTTTCAGATCTCCTCATCGAAATGCTGGGTGTCCTGGCCAGCTACAGCATAACGGTAAAGGAGCTCAAGCTGCTCTTCGGCACAATGAAGGCCACCAACGGCAAGTGGCCCCGCCACTCGGCCAAGCTCCTGAACGTCCTCCGCCAGATGCCGCACCGCAACGGCCCGGATGTGTTCTTCAGCTTTCCAGGTCGCAAAGGATCGGTAAGTGTTGGGGACTCTGGCTACCAGGATTAATATTTAATTTAGATTATACGTATATATAACAAATTCCGGTTCTGTTATTTTATTGCCTCACACTTGTAACGAATTCCCATGTCCTGGCACAATGGTTCGGTGTATGTGGAGGTCTTTGGGGAGTCTATCTAACCATCGAACCCATAAAAAATGCCATAAAGCGAATTGGAAGTCAAACGCGAACATGGCCGGACCGGGAGAATCCCGGCAATCGTAGCGAAATGTCCAATAAACAGGCTCCATCCGGGTGGTATCCCTGAAAGGAAAACCACTGAACCACCGAGCCACCCACATCAAATGTCCTGCCTGTTCCTGTCACTTTTGGCCCAAAAAGGAGGTGTGGGATTGCCCCGGGAGGAGAGTACTTTTCACGCATTTGGCCTTTTTAATTTTTCGTTTAGCCAGCTTTTAGGCAACACCACCCACTGACCCACAGAACCACCCACCCACCGAACCCACTTAACCGCCGATCAGCGATCCACTAGGATGCCTAATGCCATTGATGGTGCCGATGATTGCAATGGAATGCCAGGACGACAGGATTCGATTCGAATAATGAGATTTCGGGGCGAAAGCCAAAACCCAAAATCATCAGGGCATCATTTCAGTCAGCCTTCCCACTCCAGCTCCCAGCTCCCAGGTCTAGGTCCAGCCCCCCTTGTCTTCTGTCTCTCTCCTCCGGGACTGGTGCTGTCTTTTTCGGCTTCGCTTTTGGGGGCCAAAAGTTGGTGCAACCGCAGCAGAACTCTAACAGTGTCAGTCTTTGTCACGTCCATTTGGCCTTAACCCATTTAGTGGAGAGGCTAGAAGCCAGACCCGGACGCCCCGTGGCTGGTACGCCCTCTTTTTTGGCTCTCAAGTAAATGAAATTTGATATCCGGAGCACACATGGCCAAAGAAGCGCGGAAAAAGTGCCTTAAATTTCATAAATTTTGCACAAAACTTTTGAAGCTCAAAAATTGAGCCAAAAATGCGATGCAATTTATTTGCAATTTATTCTCCGGAGAGACATCTAATGTTTGTTATCTTAATGGAAGGATAAATAACCCGATGGCAGCCCGGGGATAGTGTCAGATGAATTTTCAACAGGATAATATTTTAAACAAACTCTCGCACCATTCCGACACAATTATGGTGCCGGGGCAGGTGATGCGAATTAAATTTATGAAGTGAGACTGCACATTCCGGGGCAGAGTCCATGAAGTCTTTGGACCTGCAAAGGATATCCCTGCCGCCCTCCCTCCGGTCGGTACAACTTTCATTTATCCACATCCTGTGAGGCAAACAGAGGCTGGTCCAGCAAAGCCACAGAATTGATGATAAATCAAATGTGCTCATTTCCGTTTAATTCAAAGTTCATTTCTGCTGCGGCTTCTCCTCTCTCATGTGCTTGTGCTTTGCTTTGGCTGGGTCTTTTGAATTCCTGGCATGTCTTTGAGGTCCTGCCACAGGATATACACCCGTGTAGTTTTCTGTGCACTCTAAACTGAAATGCCACAAGTTGGGTCCAACCCCAAGCCCACTCTAAGTCAGAGCTCATTGAAAAGTATTTCCTCTGTGATTTATACAGACATTTCTGACCGTTTTGGGCTCCGAGTCCTTGAAGGGGAAATGGAAATTGGAGTCCCTTTTCCCTTTCTGGTTGAGTTGTTGCTTTATTTAATAGAAACTGAATTATGCGGCTTATTATGTTCGAGACCAGAAGTGCTCATAATTGATATTTAACAATTTTGCAGGCCATGGTCCTGCCTCCGCTGGCGAAGTGGCCTTACGAGAACGGATTCACCTTCACCACCTGGTTTCGGCTGGATCCCATCAACTCGGTGAACATTGAGCGGGAAAAGCCCTACCTCTACTGGTCAGTATCCATACCCTACTCTACTGGATTATATTTCCCATCTTCCCATATTATAATTTAATACAAATCGTTTGCAATTAACAGCTTCAAGACGTCGAAGGGCGTGGGCTACACGGCGCATTTTGTGGGCAACTGCCTCGTCCTCACCTCCATGAAGGTGAAGGGCAAGGGCTTTCAGCATTGTGTCAAATACGAATTCCAGCCACGAAAGGTGAGTGACCCCACGACCCCTTATCCCCTCTAATCCCCAATCAACCTCACCCTTACCCTACTTGCAGTGGTACATGATTGCCATAGTGTACATATACAATCGTTGGACGAAAAGCGAAATCAAGTGCCTCGTTAATGGACAGCTGGCCTCTTCCACGGAGATGGCCTGGTTTGTCTCCACAAACGATGTGAGTACAATAACAGCTATAATACACATACATATATCCTTTCAGATACACATACAGACAGTTTAATCCTAATTAATTACGCTTGAGAGCTATCACTATTTATTTGTTTTGAGTAGAGCTTCTCCTTTCTTGTTTGGAGAAGTGCCAATTGGGGATATACTTGAGTGAGCTTCTGAAACTTTGAATTCGGATTTGAACCGCAAAATATATTGTTTACGGACTTATATGCAGATTAGCCAATAAAAATAGATCCTAAAATACATCAATATGCCATATTTTGTTAGAGGTCCCCGTTATCATCGGGAATTTCAAAAGGGGTCCCCTAAAAAATCGAAAATAATAATTGATCCGAAAATTTTGTGGCCTTATTTTGATGCAGATTTACGGAGAATCGTCCTTCGAGCCCTTTAAGGTACCGCGCTCTAGAATCGGTCAAATATTGGCCGAGATAAAGCCTCCCGAAGAGGTCATATTTCCATTTTTAGGATTTTCGCGAATTTTGAAGGGGATCCCCCAGAAAAATCGAAAAAAATGTATCCAAAATTTTGTTGCCATATTTTGATGCAGATTTATGGGGAATCGATCTATAAATCATTTAAGATATTCCGCTTTAGAATCGGTCTAATTTAGAGAAAGTTGTAGACCTTCCCGTCGGAATAAAATTTTGTAGCCTCGGCAGCGCCCGAAGATATCCTCCATAGCTCTCTAGTACCTGGACAGTGCAAAAATAAACATTGTTATTTATAATTTAGTATTGATTCTAATATAATTCTTATCCCTGTTTTCAGCCCTTTGACAAGTGCTACATTGGAGCCACGCCGGAGCTGGACGAGGAGCGGGTCTTCTGCGGGCAAATGTCGGCGATCTACCTGTTCAGCGAGGCTCTCACCACGCAACAGATATGCGCCATGCACCGCCTGGGGCCGGGCTACAAGGTGAGTGGGGGGTCAAAGGTTACCTCTCCCCAAACAGGTCGAAGAAGGTGGGGGGTTCGGGGCGTCAGGGTAGTGGGTCAAGGCACGCACTGAAAACGCACCACTCTGCACCGCCGAACTTGCTTGCAGCTGCAGCAACCAAAGTATATATATTCTAAAAATTGTCCTCGTCTGTAAAAAGATAAATTGTGAATTGTTTTTTAAAAGTATATACATGAACATACATATATATATATTTTTCTTTTTGCTCTTTTTTCTCCTTTTCTCTCTCCGTGTGTTCCAAAAATATTAAAAAAATACTACTACTTCCTGTCCTACGCTGCACCGCTAAAAAAAAAAAAAAAAACCAAAATACGAACCAAAAATTGCACCACACTTTGAATAAAAAAAAACACACATCACTGTGAATGAAAATATCTTTAAACCAAATCAGTCGCAGTTCCGATTCGACAACGAGTGCTATCTGAACCTGCCGGACAACCACAAGCGGGTGAGTCACTTTCAACTGTTGGGCTCCGCGGCCCTGACCTCGGCGTCGGGCGGCGGGAGCGGCACGGGCGGCGGCACTGCGAGCGGCGAGGCGGCAGCAGCTGCGGCGGCGGCGGCGGGCCAGCAGCAGCAGCACCAGCTGCAGTTGCAGTTCCAGACGCTGGCCGCCGAGCAGGAGGCGCGCGCCATCGACTGGTCGGACGAGAAGCTGGACCTGAGCGCGGCGTTTGTCAAAATTCGAGCTGTCCTGACCGCCAGGAATGCGGTGACCCTGGCCAGCTTGCCGGGCATGAGTCAGGTGGCCAGTACAGCCACCCCAGCAGCCGCTGCAACGGCTGCAACATCGGCTGCAGCATCAGCGGGGGCGGCAGCAACACCTGCCACAGCTACCGCCACGGATCCGGGCGACACCACCACAGACGATCCTTTGGGCCATTTGCCGACTGGAAATGCTTCTTTTGGTATTTACACTTTCTTTCTTTGATTTATTTTTTTATTTTCTATTAATTTTTTACGCATTATTTTTTATGTTTTTTTTTGGAATTTAAACAAAAAAGAGCAACTGCGTCGCCTGAGCAGCGCCAGCAACCTGAGTTCTCTGATTGCGAGCGACACTGAGGAAGTCAACCAGCTGAAAGCTGTAAGCGAAAACAAACTTTTATTTTATTTTTAAGTTACTACCTTTAGTTCTTATTTGGTTTATTGTTTTTTTTTTTGTCGGTTGAAAAGTTTCCGAAATCAGATCTGGCCAGAAATTAATTAAGAACTTATAGCCAGAAATTGTATCGATTTGATGCGGTTTTTCCTCGACCTCCCAGCTAGCTTTTTCATTTTGTGTTAACGGCTTTTTAAAGTTACCTCCAAGAAGACGGTGCTTCTACAGGGGGATGCGGAGGGGGGTGGTGTATATAAAGTTTATGGCTTTATTGTTGTTGGCCGGGAGAAATGGGAAGTAAATGTAGCGTATAGTATACCTCCCGTCCGGGCAGGTGTTTCAAATGCCACCCAACCGCTCCCCTCCATAGACAAAAGCGAATGCAAAGCTTACCAGCGAAATAGGTGCAGTGAGAGAAAGTCTGAGTTAGTTCTTTGGATATCTTTGGCTTTGAATTCTAACCTACAAGTAAGAGAAAATAGGTAGTAATTTCTCTCTCTGCACCGAAACGTTAGAGATTGTTGGGAAATCTTTTGGGCGCGCATGTTCCATATATTCCGCTAGAACATTTCTATGCCCGTGCTCCACATTTGGCGAAGACCCGAAACGGCTATTATGTAGACAGCTTTCCCCCCTCCCTTTCGACTCTATGCCTCCCCCAGCTTTCACTCCACCTGCTCCTGTATGGCGGGTATTATGCCATTTGCTTTCTTTTTACAAGGACGAGGCTGGGGGCTGGAGGAAGGAGGCAGGAGGAGGAAAATGGAATGGCAAAGCGAGTGCTTTAGTTATTTTGAATGTTGTTTTTATGCGCCAAATCGGGAGTTGAGTTAATGGGATGGGGAAACATGGCCAAAACACACATACACACACACGTACAGGTTGCGCTTTTGGAAGGAAAATTAGAGGCGAGGTGGAAGTTATGACCTCTTGGAGCTGGGAAACTGCGCCAGAAAATAAATAATGGACATGGCCATTCAACTAGTCAGTCCATCCATCAGTCAACAGAATAGTCCTTTTGTATTCAGATTCTATTTTTCCCATCGAGATGGTATCACTGCCCCCTTCCCCCGATTTCTGATTGCTTTGTTAATTTTCCATTTTCATTTTCGCATTTATTGTTTGTGTGGAAATATCGCAAAAGAAGTATTTTTAGAAGCAAATTATACAGCCAGAAATAATTATGATAGAACCACCAATACACAGGCACCTATGCTTACATATATTTGGCACACACACACACACACTATCACACACCCATACAGACAAAATGCTAAAATGCACCGAAGGAGAAGAAAACTCGAAGTCTGAAGCTCGAAGGAGAATCTGTTCTGGAAACAAAAACCAAAAATGCAACGATGCGTGGGCTGTGTATATAAATTTTCTTCTCACTTTATGTACTAAACACTCCATACTATATATATATACTATATGTATATGGATATATCTACACATGTGTGTGCTTTTGTGTGTGTGTATACTTATTGTATTGTACTCCCGAAGAGTTTATTATAAATTTTGCACAAATGCCTGGGCTGGGCATCGCTTTAAATTGCAGAGTTGACTGAGTTTTTTGGCTAAAAATAAATAGCTTGTTTGGATAAAAAGATTAGGCTTATGATTTCTAGTCTCACGCCTTTAAGTTGGCCAGCTTAAAGCCAGAAAAAGCATTCCGAAGAGGCCAAGAGACATGCCACACAAAATTGCAGTTTTCGATCCTTGGGCCGAACACTCGATAGCTCGATAGCGCCGCTGCCACTCCGATGAGTCACCAGAAAGCCCGGCCTAATCCTGGCCTGGCTCGGCTCTCTATCTCGCTCGACACACCCGCCCACTCACTAATCACCACCAACCACCAACCACCACCCACTAACCCATGCCACTTTTGTCTGCCCCAACAGGTCCTGTACGACGGCAAGCTATCGAATGCCATAGTCTTCATGTACAATCCGGTGGCCACCGACGGTCAATTGTGTCTGCAATCGTCGCCCAAGGGGAACGTTTCCTATTTCGTTCACACGCCGCATGCCCTCATGCTGCAGGTGAGTAAATCCCCGAAACCCATCCACATAATCAGGTGCAAACAGATGAGGACGATGGGACCAAGGAACCAAGGCCGGACAGGACCGACCCCGGGGGATCTGATGTTCCATGCAGAAAATTTTACGACAGAGGCGCATGCCTTGGCATTTCTTATTAGCCGGGGACCAGGGAGAGCTTCCTGGCCGGAAAGCAGGCACCGACCGGATCAAGTCCGTCCCATCCTCCCCCATTGTCCCCATCGTCCTCATCGTCCTTATCGTCCTGGCCCGTGTCCGGCAAAATTATTCAATAAATTTTGTAGTAATTTCTTGTGCAAACAGAGCACACAAATCATAAAGACGCTGCCAGCTGCCCGGGAGAGAACGTGTCCCGGGCCAAAATCGAGGCTGATGACAGCTTAGGCGATTAATGGACCTGACGAGTCCTGGCCAAGGACATGGCCACTGCTACTGCTACTTGCTACTTGGCCATCGATTAAATTGAAATTTGCTTTTGCAGGACGTTAAGGCCGTGGTCACGCACTCGATACACTGCACCCTGAACTCGATTGGCGGCATCCAGGTGCTCTTCCCGCTCTTCTCGCAGCTGGACATGGCCCACGAAGGACTCGGCGACATCAAGCGGGATCCAACCTTGTGGTGAGTTTGTCAATCAATCTAAAATGGAGGGGGGTTTTGTCATGATGAGCTACTGGAAGTCTAATCAAACTCTGTGTTCTGAATCGTCCTGCAGCTCCAAGCTCTTGGGCTTCATTTGCGAGTTGGTGGAGACCTCCCAGACCGTGCAGCAGCACATGATCCAGAACCGAGGCTTTCTGGTCATCTCGTTCATGCTGCAGCGCTCCTCGCGCGAGCACCTGACCCTGGAGGTGTTGGGCTCCTTCCTGAACCTCACCAAGTATCTCGTCACCTGCCTGTCGGCCAACAGCGATCTGTTGCTCAAGCAGGTAAGTCAGATCAGACCAATACATGTAGAGTATGCATTAATATCCTGCCTGCCGCCTAAGATAAGTTTTTGTGAATTGAAAGTGTTTGGATCATTGCGGACCACGCTGCGTATGCGCAATGTCGTTGGCATGCCGTGTTGTATATTCTTTTGTGACGAATGTGTTTTGCGCTGCTGATAACTGATACCTGATAGCCGTCTATATATTATTACTCTATGTACATTATCTGCCATAATACTAAGTTCGATCTAAGTGCCAGTTTTTTTGGGGGGTGGTTAGCATGCAAAAAAATGATAAAAATTGAACACTCCCCGCCGTTTGATGCGAATTTGATTTCTACCTTTGTTGCGCGTTCTTGTTGTTCGTTTCTTGCCACAAAAGTACTCCCTCCCCCCAACCAACCAACCTCCCTCCATCGACCAAGCAAATGGATTGTTTTTTAGGGTGGCATGTTAACCCAACTCTCCGAAAGAAAAAAAAATAAATAAAAACCAAATCCCCCAAATGATATGCGAATTGTTGCTTTCTCTATCTCTCTCTCTCTCTCTCTCTCAACACACATACTACTTACTCTCTCTATCTATCGCACTCACTGTGTTTTTTGTCTTTTTTGTGATGATGATGATGATGATGATGATTGCGATGATGATGATGGCGCACAGTTGAACACAGGCCTGCGTAATCCTTTCAAAAAAGTAAACACAACCGTAAACAACTGCTCACATTTCTCGTTATAAGTAACTGCACTTTGAGAATCTCTTAAGCAAATATACTCATGCCACATTGCCGCACACTACTCTATCTACATATATACAATATATAGTATATATAATGCCAAGACACACACGCACACTCACACATGCGATACACAAACGTATCTATCATCGTACATTTGTGTTTGCTTTGTGCCTTTTGCCTGTCTGCGACCTGGAGGAAAATCCTTGAAATCCTATTGGTTGCCACTTGAATTCCATAACCCGCTTAGTTTAAAGGTAGAGCGAAGTCCTCTTCGGTCTGCAACTTGGGCTAAGTGAAATATGGAGACAGGACAGAGCCGGGCCGAGCCATTGTCTTTTGTTTTCCCAACAATATGAAACTCAATCCTCCTCTCAGCATTTCGAGTACACTTTTCTTTATTTATCGTATAATACACATTTAAGTTATGATTTATTGACAATCTACCACACTGCTACCACACCAGAATGTTGCATGCTGCATTTCGACTGCCTTTCAACACTGTTTTTTGTTTTGTTGTGCATGTTCCGATTGGCGATAAACGATAAATTTTTCCATTCTTGCGTTCCGATTGCGATCAGTTGCCGCTGTTTCATTCCGTTTCGTTCCGTTCGGTTCCGCTTGCACTTGCACCGCCTGAGCACTGCCTCCCAGCTTCAGATCGCCATGAAATTAATCAAAATTTGAAAACTTTTAATAGCCATTTTAATCAGCAAGCCAGTGAAATGCCACAAAGAAAAAGAAGATATATATTAACTACAACTTACTGTCTTCTTCTACTTTTGTCTGCTCTCTCTTTCACTCTCACCCTGTATCTCTCTCTCTCCCCGCGCTCTCTTTCTCCCTCTCAATCTACCAATCTACCAATCTCTCTCTTTCTCTCACTCTCACTTGCCACACACTCTCACGATCGCTTCTCCATCCTCCAAACGACATACCTTTGCTTCTTTCGATTGTGAACGTTTATCGATAACAACATTCAATGCGCCTCATCGATACACTGCAAAAAAAAAACACACAAACTCTGAATAACCTATACTCTGAATAACAAATAACAACAACAATAACCGATCTATAAACAACAAACATCTCAACATGAACAACAACAGTTCTACCAGGTGAAGCTCAACTCTCTCGAATTCTGTGTACTCTCTGTACTTGCATATATTCCAAATACTAAACTATATCCAATGTAACATAACTGTAACAGTAACTGTTTCCGTTTCCGTTTCCGTTTCCGTTCCACTGTTCATACCGTTTCGTTTCATTTCTTTAAGTGTCTGTGTGTGTTAGAGTTGTTGAACATTGAGTGTACATACTTATAACCGACTCATACCCCCCATCATCTCATCATCGATTTATTTATGTTTAATATATAATATATATAATATATATAGTATATAGCATATATACGCGTATATATATTTGTATAGAAAACTCATTTCACCTTTCATTCCATCGTGTTCCGCTTGACTTTGTTTTGCCGCAGAACCGCAGAACCGCAACGATAAAACCGCATAATCTTATTAACTCGAAGGGAAACTCCTTAAACGAAACCCGCAATCCCCAGAAACCCAAACCATAGCCCAAGCCCAAGGTTCAATCTCAGCCTTGGTATTTCCGGTTCCTGTTTTTCTTGTTCCCACTTTACCCAGAGATTCCCCAAGCCCTGCCCCAAGCCACCCACTGGGCTGGGCTCCTCACTCAATTTGTTCAATGTGTCATTTGGATAATTGAAGCAAAAGTTGTGTTCACAGCACCGCATCGCACCTTCCTAATTGCTCCCACAATCCATTCCCTCCTCCAACCCCCCTCCAAAGTACAATAAAAAATTGAATAAAAAAGCTGAAGCAGAAAAAAAAACCAAAAGAAAGAAAAATGAAATTCGAAAAGCTGCAAATATTTTCACCGTGGCACCTGTACGAGTACGAGTGCATTTTTATTTTATATTTCGTTTCCAGAGACCTTTTTAATTGGGAAACTTGTGCTGCCACTGCTGGATGTTATGGATTGTATGGATGGGGGCAGTGTGGCAGTGGCAGAGGACAGGGGATAGGGGCAAAAGATTGTTGCATTGTTTCCTTGTTGGCTGAACGAGAGTCATGGCAACAGCACATTGGCGAACATTGTTTTTGACAATCCAACAAGTTGGGGCAAGGGCTTAACAAGTTTTGTTTTTGGCCCGAAATCCCGGCCAGAACCAGCCGGATGAAATTAAAGTTTTGGCCTAACTGGATTACGGCAGGGCTTTAATGCCAGGACTGGCAGTTTATATACTTTGGGGCTATAAAACTCGTACTACTCCATCATCATATGCCACAACATGATATGAAACCATACTTAGTCATAAACTTAGTCTTAAATATTATTTATTATAGCCTAGCCTAGCCTAGCTTAGCCTAGCCTAGCCTAGCTTTAGTTTTAGTTTTAGTTTTAGTTTTAATTTAGTTTTTAGTGATATGTTAATCCCTTGAATCCTCAAAAAGCTAACCTCATGAATACCGGAATGCATTTGTTTGTTTCGTTTCATTTCGTTGGAATTTGATTTTATATGTTCGATTCAATTCGATTCGATTCGTTGATTGACGTTTGCCGTTTGCTGTTTCCTGTTTGCTGCATGTGTTACTTGACCTCCTGACCAATATTACTACCCCAATCTACTACTACTACTACTACTATCCAAACAAAAAAAAAAATATATATATATATATCGACATCAACAACAAACAATATACCAAAATAAAACCGAACTCATGTTTAACCGTATGTATACCGAAATCTATTCTCATAATTTAAACTTTGCGATCTTTGCTTTGAAAACTATAACTACTCTCCTTTGATCCTGTACCCCCTTCTTGCTAAAAAATCACCTCCTTTCCGAGCTCTAACCACACACTCTATGAATTTCGAGGCCAAAAGCCATCCAGCCTGTTCGAGGACAGCCACGTTACTTGACTAATTCCCCGCAGTTGTTCTGTTTCTCGTTTCTCACGTGGCAGCTGCTGGACCACGTCCTCTTCAATCCAGCCCTGTGGATCTACACCCCGGCCAACGTCCAGGCCAGGCTCTACTCCTACCTGGCCACCGAGTTCCTCTCCGACACCCAGATCTACAGCAACGTGCGTCGGGTGAGCACGGTCCTCCAGACGGTGCACACCCTCAAGTACTACTACTGGGTCGTGAATCCCCGGGCCAAGAGCGGCATCATTCCCAAGGGATTGGGTGAGTACTGACCCTATTCTTAGGGGGTTTCCTTCCTTAATCTCCTTGTTTACCAGATGGACCGCGTCCGGCTCAAAAGGACATTCTCGCCATACGGGCCTACATCCTGCTGTTCCTCAAGCAGCTCATCATGATCGGCAACGGGGTCAAGGAGGACGAACTGCAGAGCATTCTCAACTATCTGACCACCATGCACGAGGTAAGGAGGTCACTAGCCGTTTGTCCTGGCCCACATGTCTCACTCTGTCTCTTACAGGACGAGAACCTGCACGATGTCCTGCAGATGCTCATCTCCCTGATGTCGGAGCACCCCAGCTCCATGGTACCTGCCTTCGATGTGAAGCACGGCGTGCGCAGCATCTTCAAGCTGCTGGCGGCCGAGAGCCAGCTCATCCGGCTGCAGGCCCTCAAGCTGCTGGGATTTTTCCTCTCGCGCAGTACCCACAAGTAAGTTTACATCCTTAAGGACTATTTTCAAGGATAATCTACATTTCTAAGATTCATTTTCATTCATTTTCTGGAACTTCTTTTTGTATCTTTTTAGACGCAAGTACGACGTCATGTCGCCACACAATCTTTACACTTTACTGGCTGAGCGGTTGCTCCTTTACGAGGAGTCCTTGTCGCTGCCCACATACAATGTCCTTTACGAGATCATGACGGAGCACATCTCGCAACAGATCCTTTACACACGCCATCCAGAGCCGGAGAGTCACTACCGCCTGGAGAATCCAAGTAAGTTTTCTTATTCCCTCTAGAATAGTTCGATAAGACCTTTTCCAAATAGTCCTTGAATGAGAGAAAAAGGATAATACCCCTACTTAACTCAAATCCTAAACCATCATCCATCATATAACCTTTCCCAAACAGTGATCCTCAAGGTGGTGGCCACCTTGATCCGACAGTCGAAGCAGACCGAGTCCCTCATCGACGTGAAGAAGCTCTTCCTGCAGGACATGACGCTGCTGTGCAACAGCAACCGCGAGAACCGGCGCACCGTCCTCCAGATGTCCGTGTGGCAGGAGTGGCTCATCGCCATGGCCTACATCCACCCGAAGAGCAGCGAGGAGCAGAAGATCAGCGACATGGTCTACTCCCTGTTCCGCATGCTGCTCCACCACGCCATCAAGCACGAGTACGGCGGCTGGCGGGTGTGGGTCGACACCCTCGCCATCGTCCACTCGAAGGTCTCCTACGAGGAGTTCAAGCTCCAGTTCGCCCAGATGTACGAGCACTACGAGCGCCAGCGCACCGACAACATCACGGATCCGGCCCTGAGGCAGGCCCGGCCCATCAGCACAATCAGCGGCTGGGAGCGGGAGGAGCTCCACCAGCAGCAGAACGGCGCCGGAGGAGCTGCTCCTCCCCAGGCGGTGGCAGGAGCCCCCAACTCCGCCGTCGCTGCTGTCAAGGGTGCTGTGTCGATTGCCTCGCTGGAGGACGTGCCGCCAGTGGTCGAGGAGGAGGTGGAGGAGCTGGAGCTGGAGGAGGTGGACGTGGTGCCGGAGGCCCAGCCGCCGGCCGGCGAAGATGCCGCCACCAAGTCCGTGATAGCCAACATCTCCGATGTCTACAACGAGCACATCAAGACGGACCAGCAGGAGGTCTGCAACGGCAACGTGGAGTCGCCCAAGAAGAGCACAGAAGAGGGCTCCTCAGAGGATACGGAGAAGGAGCAGCCGAAGGCTGTCGAGCTGGAGAAGGCGGAGCAGTCCTCGCTGGGCGCTCTGAGGGAGACCCTGCAGCTGGGCGACGATATGGACGTGGAGGAGCTGGAACTGGCCACCGCCAAGGACGCCCTCAACGCCGAGCAGCATGTAGCCAGTGTACTGAAGTCCTCGGAAGCGGCCCTCAACGACTGCAAGCTGGCCGTCGACGATGTCCTGCAGGAGGCCTCCTCCGTCCTCAAGGATGAGGAGATCGAACTGGCCGTCAACGAGGTCGTCCAGGGAGTCCTCAACAACGAGAAGAAGTCCCAGGAGAAGGAGCCCCAGGCCCAGCAGGAGGACGTCAATGTCAGCCTCCTGAACAGCAAGAATCTGCTCAACAACAACAACAACAATAATAACAACAACAGTCCGAGCCTCACCACACCGGAAACGGAAACGGCAACGGAGACAGGCACAGGCACAGGAGCGGCGACTGAAGCGGCACCGGAACTGGAAGTGAACGCCAACGAGATCATGAGCCCAGTGCCAAAGGATCAAGAAGGCGAAACCAAAACGGAAGCGGAAGCCGAAACCAAAACGGAAGCGGAAGCGGAAACGGCGGCCCTGGCCAAGCCAAGTCCTGCCACGACAAATCCAAACACTCCTCCCGAAGCATCCAATCAAAAGACTGAAGAAGCAGCCAACAAGCTGAACAACAACGAGAAGCTGGCCGAGATCGGTGCCGGCTCTACCCCAGAGACAGAGACAGGAAAAGAGTCGGACGTGGAAACGAAGCCGGAAACGCCCGCGGAAGTGTTGGCAAAGCCGGAAGAGAAGTCAGAGGCAGTGGCCGAGCCCACAGCTGAGGATCTGGTGGAACTGGCCGTCCGGGATATCGTAGAGCAACTAATCGACAAGGTGATCGATGCCACGGAAGCGGAAACGGCAGCGGAGACCCCAGAGGCCCAACCGGAAGCGGAAACGGAAGGACAAAGTCCGCCGCCCACAAAAACGGAAACCAACAATAACGAGCTGCCCAAAGTGGAGGCCAAGCCGGAGGAGGAGTCGCCCGAGCAGGTGGCCGAGGAAATTGTCCAGGAGGTGGTCGAGGCTGCTCTGGAAGGATTGGCCGAGGAAGTGTCCAAGCCAGAGGAAGCAGCTGCCAAGACTCCGGAGGAGTCAGCCTCTCCAGCCGAACAGGAGCCTGTCAAGGATCTACTCCTGGAGGAAGAAATAAAACCGGAGGTAGCCCCAGAAGCTCCAGCTACCAAGGAGCAAGTGGCGGAGATAGTCAACGATGTCCTGGACACGCTGGTGGACGAAACTGTCAAGGCCGTCGCCTCGGAGCAGACAACCCAGACCTCGCCGGCCCCCAAGGAGCAGTCGATTCCCGGCCAGGGCAAGCCCAAGGAGACGGCTACCTCGCCGGCCCATCCGCGCCCCAAGCCCACTGAAGTGGACTCCACCACCCAGACCACGCCAAAGAACGAGGCCGGACAGCCTATCATCCAGGAGGCGGAGCAGCAGCAGCAGCTTCAGTTCCAGGAGGAGGACGCCGACGTTGATGGTGATACCGACGCCCAGACAGCGGGCACTGCGGAGGACGAGGAGTACGCCACTCAGCAGGTTGTCCCCGGCGGAGAAGGCAACCCCATGGATGCCAGTCATTATGGTAAGATGTCCCCCTGACAGTAGTGCCCTTAATCTTAAACTCTCTCCCGGATCAGGTCCTGGGAATCCAGCCAACAATGAGCCGAAACAGCAGCAGCAGCAGCGCTCCAAGTCCGGCTCCACGAGGCCCATGTTCAGTCCCGGGCCGACACGCCCGCCCTTCCGGATACCGGAGTTCAAGTGGTCCTACATCCATCAGCGCCTCCTCAGCGATGTCCTGTTCTCCCTGGAGACGGACATCCAGGTGTGGCGCAGCCACTCCACCAAGAGCGTCCTGGACTTTGTCAACTCGAGCGAGAACGCCATCTTCGTGGTGAACACGGTGCACCTGATCTCCCAGCTGGCGGACAACCTGATCATAGCCTGCGGAGGACTGCTGCCTCTCCTGGCAAGTGCCACGTCACCCAATGTAAGTACACGCGGGGATCCCTTGGGGCAACTGTAGTCTATGATGTGTAACCCTTTTGCAGTCCGAGTTGGATGTCCTGGAGCCCACACAGGGCATGCCCCTGGAGGTGGCCGTCTCCTTCCTGCAGCGCCTCGTCAACATGGCCGATGTCCTGATCTTCGCCACCTCCCTGAACTTTGGGGAGCTGGAGGCGGAGAAGAACATGTCCAGTGGCGGGATCCTGCGGCAGTGCCTGCGCCTCGTCTGCACCTGTGCCGTGAGGAACTGTCTGGAGTGCAAGGAGCGTACCCGCTACAACGTGGGCGCCCTCGCCCGGGATGTGCCGGGAGCGGCCCATCTGCAGGCCCTCATCCGAGGAGCCCAGGCCTCGCCAAAGGTGGGTTTAGCTTTGTCAGGTCCTTGGACATGATTTTTATTCCTTGTTTTGTTGGAACATTAGAACATTGTTGAGTCAATCACCGGTCAATTATCGCCCGTCAAGGATCCCGAGAAGCTGCTCCAGGACATGGACGTGAATCGCCTGAGGGCTGTCATCTACAGGGATGTGGTAAGTTATCTTCAAGCTCTCCATGTCTCTCCCCTTCCTATTTGCAATCCCTTGTCTTTGCAGGAGGAAACCAAGCAGGCTCAGTTCCTGTCCCTCGCCATCGTCTACTTCATCTCCGTGCTGATGGTATCCAAGTACCGAGACATCCTGGAGCCTCCGGCCGAGCCCCAGATCCAGCGGCAGTCCCCAGTGCTGCCCCGCACAGCAGGTACAGCCGGTAAGTCAGAGCCTTTCGCGATAGTATCTAGTATATATATTACGTATAAGCCCGAGTCCCCAAAAAAGATATCCCCCCAAGAGATCGGTACCGGAACCGCCATATCCAGAGGATATATGATATTATTTCTTAACTGTTTCTTTGACATTCTGGGAGTGGGAAAAGCAAAACTTGTGCCATTCTCATGCTCGTTTCGTTTCGTTTCCCAAGCGTATCACTTCCGTCTTCCTAGGTTGCTCTTTGTCTTATTTCCGTTTCCGTTTTCGTTTCAGTTATCGTTATCGTTTCATTCTCATTTCGTTTCTGAGTCTTTTTCTATTGCTGCACCAAAAACTTCACGCTCGTTTATGGTTTGAACTTTTTGTGTCTGAGATTCGGCCGCTAGTGTATCTGAAACTATTTCCAATATACTTCTAATTTCGTGATTTATATCTCTCTCTCTCTGTATAAGAATATGAAGATCTATTGGTTTCCGTTTCATTTCTCATCGTTTTCCGGCTTGTTTGGCTTTCGATATTTTTGGTTTTTGTTTCGTTTCCGTTGTTAGGTTTTATGTTTTCAGTGTTCTGTGTGATTTTTCGATGATTACAAGCTGGAACAAGAGATTTTTTTCCATACATTTATAATATATATATATATGGTAGATGCCCCACCACCCCACCGAACCACCAACCCACCCACCATCCATCACTGATCTATGAGACTTTTTTAAGCCAAACTTTGAGAAAAAACACACTCTCCACCACCACCACCACCACCGCACTGAGAGCACCCAGGCCCCCCTCCCAGAACCCAGCCCCCTAGATACCCGCCCATGTGCGTGTGTGTGTTGAACCCCCCCTTTCCACCCCGTACCACCTTTTTTTTATGGCAACACCTTTCCAGCCACTTCATTGAATCACTCGCCCCACTCCCACCAACCATCCACCACTCCACCACGCCCCTTTGGCTAACGTTTATTAATCTCAAAAAAAAAGAAGATATTTATACATATTCCTATATATAATCACTAGCTATTAAGAACACATCGTTGAAGCCCAAAAACATTTCCATTGTCGGAGATAATATTCGGTTTTGTGTTTCCTTTTCTTTGTTCCGTTCCGATGATTTCATTTCACGCTGCTTTTTCGGATTTATTGTACCTCCAAAATAAAAAAAAAAAACAAAACAAAAACAAAAATCAAAAAAATCGAAAAATAATGGAAAAATCAATCGCTCTCTCCGCCTGGTCACGCCCCCTTCGCCGCTCTTTTTGTGTGATATCCTTGAGCGCCCTTAGAAGCCGCCAGTGCTCGCCCCTTGTTCCCCCAATGGTCGCACCACGTCTATCCGCAATTCCTGCCCGAATCGCATCAGAACCATGTGGCTGTCAGCAACATGCAGCAGCAGCAGCACCAGCAGCAGCAACACCAGCAGCAGCAACATTACTATCAGCAGCAGCAACAACAGCAACAGCAGCAGTTGGCTCATAATCATAGCCACCATCACATGACGCCTGCCTACTACCAGCAGCAACATGCCGCTGTCAGTCAGCAGCAACTCACGGCTGGCAGCCAGCAACATGGCAACATTTCGCCCACTCCCCTGGCCTCGCACTCGACGAGCTCCTCGGCCAGCTCCTCGGCCACGTCCCAGCCGGCCTCGAGCTCCTCGCTCTCCAGCCTCACCTCCCAGAGCCAGCAGCAGCAGCAGTCGCACCGCCAGATGCACAAGCAGCAGCAGCAGCAGCAACATCAGCAGCAGCACTACCACTACGGGATGATCAATGGCCATCAGAACGGCAAGCATTATCCGGAGAATGGCTCCTCGGGTGCTGGGGGCGGGGGCTACCATCCGCACGCACATCCGCACGCGCATCCGCACCCACACTCGCACCCACATCCGCATGCCTATCTGAGGAACGGCGAGACTCCCACTCAGCAGCAGCAGCAGCAGCAGAATGGCCATGGAGTCGCTGCGGACTATGGATTGCTGAATGGACATGGCAGCGGCAATTCGGCCAATAACAACAACGCCAGCCTGATGAACAACATGCGGAATCTGAGGAACACGGTGCCGGCCACAGAAACAGGAGCAGGAGCCGGAGCCGGAGCTGGAGGAGGAACCAATGTCCAGGCGCAGGCAGGTGCGGCAGGAACGGCGGTGAATGCAACAAATGCTGCTGGTGTTGGGATGATGAACATGAACATGAATATGAACATGGGCATGGGCATGGGAATGGGCATGGGCATGGGCGTTGGCATGGGCATGGGCGTGGCTGTGGGCGAGGGCGCCGGAGGCGTGGCCTACAAGACAAGCTCGATAAACAATAACTATCGCTACAATGGACGCAACGCAGCCCCAGGAACAGGTATCGCTCGTTCTCGACTGTTGTAGAAAATATCTCTAAATATTTTCGTTTTATTTATTTATTTATTTTTATATGTTTTTGATTTTCCAAACCTTGCACTGTAATCTGTAAAATATATCTGTAAACTACTGTATTTTTTTTCAGTGCATTTATTTAGCTGCTAGACTGTTGCTCACTTTCTTGAACTTTCCTTCTCATCCTTTTTACGATTTCGATTCGATTTTCATGCGATTCGATTCGATTCGCTTAGATTTGATTTGTTTTTCAATTTGTTTGTGCCTTTCATTTCCCCCCGACTCTCCAGTATCCGTAGCTATATGTTTATAGACTTATAGACTTGTATATCCTAGCCATTTCTAACACTTGTATATAGAACATATTTTTTTGAGGAACACACACACACCACTTTCACACTCGATCTCTCGCATCAGATTTGGATTTTTTGTAAATAATTTTCGAAGGAACTGTGTGTGTGCTTTGTTATCCGGGTGTGTGTGTGTGCTTTAGTGTACATATATCCGTCACACACACACCTGGAATTAAGTGGATTTTTTTTTTTGTTTAATTTCTGATCTTAATTGGCTTTCGCAAGTAGCTTTGTTCGCCTTGGTTTGCCGAGAACTTTCATAATCGCCTCATCGAAGATATTTAAGAAATCAATTCCACACTTTTCACATCCGGCTTGGACAGCTTGTTGGGTTTTTCATTTTCAATGAGTTTTCGTTTATGGTTTGTGGTTACCGGCTGCACAACAAATGCACTTTTGTTTCGTTATCCCTTGGAGGTCAGAAGGTCCTACACTTATTTGGTTATTAACTGAAGAGGCAAGTGGCAGGAGGCTCTGGGAAAATATGGAAAATGCCTCTAATGCTAATGTTTTTGGAAAGTTTGGAGTCCTGCTATCCAAATATGCTTTTAAAAATGCAATCCATCTTTGTAAGCCCGCACTGTCCTCCACCCACCGACTCACACACATGTTTAGAGACAGTGCAGGCACAGTGACAGCTAGAAATTTTTGACACGCCGGAAGTCCTGCCCCAGAGTCCTGCCTCATCCGAAATTCCAGCTCCTTTTTTTTTTTCTTTGGGTTCTCCCAACTTGCCCGTCATTTTTGTGCTGTCAGCAGAAATTCATTTCATTTATCTTCATTTGCAATACCCATACACACACTAGCTCACACAGATACACACCCACACATAAGCGGCAGAGGCCATCAGGGGCAGGAAAAACTGAAAAACTGAAGCTGGAAGCTGGGCGAGGACTCTGCCCACCGCCCTCCTCCCACTGAAATGAAACATAATTCGTTAATTTTACATTTTATGAAAATGAATTACACGAAAATTATACAATTTGCCATTCATACATGGCCTTTGGCCTCTTTTTTTTTTTCTGGCTCTTTTGCTTTTCGAATATTTTTTTATTATTACTACCTCCCTCCCTCCCTAGCTTGCGAGGGGGGCAGCCAGTGTGAGTGCGCATAAAACATTCGGCAGACAGGCCATAAAATGGCATTCGGCACGCCTGCATTTTAAAAATTGCCATTTGGACAGGGTCAGGGTGAGGAAAATTTAAGGGAAGATGGGAGGATAAATGGCAGGAAAAATGGTAGGAAAAACACAGGCCAAAAAGGCCCAAAAATTGTGGCACAAATAAAAAGCTGAATAAACCAATGAATGCTCTATATTATTATTGGAATTACAAAAGATTTTTATAGAGCGATTTTCAAGCCATAAATTTTATTTGTGAATAAATAATTAAATAGCTGAGAGAAGAGTTATAGAAACTTTGAGACTCTATTAAGTTTAATATTATGTTAGGGATAATATTTCCTACCTACCCTTTAAAGATGTCCTTTTTCTCTCCACACTTAATACCGAAAATGAAAGGACTCCCCCACCATACAGACATTTCCATTACAAAATTAATGGCGGCGACAAAAATGTAAATTAGTCGCCACGAAAAGTCTGAAAACAACAGAAAAAAAAAGTGGAAAAACTTTGCGATAATTTATGAAAGCAGTAGCAGGGGTAGGAGACAAAAAACAAAAACAAAAAATGTGAAAAGAAAACAGAAAAAAAGGACAATCCAGGAAAAACAGTTTTTACCACTGCTGGAACCGATAAAATTTTCCAAAAAAAAAAATCCTGTACAGAGAATAATTTGTGGCCATTATATAGGTATATGTGTATCAGGGGGCGTGGCAAAGCATGAAAATAATTGCAAAAAATTAAAAAAAAAAAAAAGGGAAAGAGAAGCAGAAACAGAGACAGAGAGCACGTGTCCTGGGCATAATCATAAATTTCAATTAAGCCAGATCAGGGCCAGGACATGGCCAGGACACGGCCATTCTGTCGGTTAAAACAAGGTTAATTTGTAGATAAAAGCCAGGATAGCATTGCATCCGTGTAGAGCCAACAAATTATGAGTCTTAGCCACTTTTTACCTTCATTTTGTTAATGAAAGCTTCCTCACGACGGCACCTTTGTGTGTGATTATAGTATGATTTCTTGGATCCTTGTTTCTCATATATTTGATTATAATTTGTCCCTGTTTCGAGTTTTGTTTCTTGTTTATGTTTTGGTAAAGTAAAGTCTACAGATTTCTACTCCTAGTACCGTAACTGTTGTTATCCTGACAATATATTTTAAAGATATTTCAAACTAATACTGAGTATCTTGTGTTGTTCTTTTGATTTTTTTATTATTTTTTTCTTATTGATTATTTTGCAGGTGGCCGTCAAATACAGGACAGTGACTATGAAATAATTGTCGTGGATGAGAATAATCCCTCGGTTCTGGCCGACAACGATTCGCATTCCAGTGGACCGCCCTCGATCAAGGTAAGTTAGTTGTTGATAGAAGTCGGATATCCTCTATATCCTGAGAGTACTGAGAGTGTTGCCAGAATGATTGTCTGTGTGCGTGTGTGCGAGTGTGTGAGTGCGTGTTTGCATCCTTGATTAGAGTTAAGACATCATTTAGAGCGTTTTGTCTGAGGAATGTTTTCGTATTCGAGTTGAAATGCCAATCAAACAAGAAACTAAAATTCATTTGCATGTGCAACGACAAAAACCAAAATTTGTATGCAAATCACAACGAAAAATGTCACAGGCCAACCAGACAACAACAACAACAACAACCCATAACAACACTAAGACTACAACTGCTGCAACAGCTACAACAACAACAACATCAAGTACAACTACAACAACAACAACAATTAAAATTCAACAACAACCATTGTCACCACCCAAGCCGTTGGTGCCACAAAAATTGCCAAAGGTAACAAAATTGTCAAAATGAAAGAAAATCAAAAGCAGCAAGAACCGCATTGCAGTCGCAACTGCAACATTGCAACATCTATTGCAACACCAAAACAACAACAACAACAACACCAACAAACAACCGCTTCTGACAAACCACCACCCACTGCACCGCCCACAACATAACGTACAGTTACAACCACAAATACACACACACTCGCACTTGAAAAAAAAAAAAAATGTTGAAAACAAATATTTGAATATTTTCGATATTTTATTACATTTTTGGCTTTTTTGTGTTTTGTTTGTTTTTTTTTTGCCGCTAATTGTTGTTGCAATTTATGGACAGGTCCTTTATTTTCGTTTTATGGCCCTTTTTTTTTTGTTCTAGCCACGCTCTAGTAATTTGTTTTAATATTTACCAATGCCTGTTATCAAAGTAATTGTCATTCGGCCAATGTTTGATTGTCTTGGCAATGGCTTTGGGCCATTTTGGGTATTTAAACAAGGCTTTAAAATTACTAAAATTCAACAGAGAGCCTGGCAAAGAAAGAGATAAAAGAGCCTAGTGATGTGATTATTTATTAATTAAGATTATCCAATCGCTTGTGACGTCATGGGCTTGCAATTAAGTCGAATCCATGTATCATTTTGTAATCTCCACCGACAAATCAGAGCACTTAATGAGTCGCACCCAGCACCCAGAACCCAGAACCCAGCCGCAGAAACTCTTTTGTGGCGCCCAAAAGTATGCAGTCCTCGAATGTACGTTTGTCTGTATGCGTGTGTCTGTGTCCTTGTTCCTTAGCGTGTCTGTGCGTCTGTGTGTGATTTATCCCAGCTCCTTCAGCCCCTGTATATGTTAATGTCACTGTCTGTGCTTGTCTGCGTATGTCTTGTGCAATTAGTGATACACACACATACACACACACACTCTTACACCCACACTATCCTTCAGCCACTGCCGACTTTTTGGCTTTTATCGCTTTTTTGGGTATAGCCCGAAAACCCTAATGAACTAACACACACTCACATTATTTATGCCCAACCGCTCACCCTCGCACACACTCACACTCGCTTAGCTAATCACTATGTGACTGCTAAGTGCACTGCTCGTTCTCCCCCTCCTGCAGGATCTGCCCCTCTGGGCCCCTCTGCCCGGTCTGGGGCTCACCTTTAATGAATGCGTGCATATATCACAGTTGACAAGATTGCGAAACAGGAATGAGAAATGGGAAACGGGAGTGGGTCCTTCGTGGGGGGGGGCCACAATTTGAATTTTCCGAATTACACCAACCGAACCGAAGTCAGTGGCGCAGCTCTAAGGGGGGTGTAGCATTCTCCAGGGGATAACCCCAATCGAGAAACCCAGAGAACCCTTTTTCAAATACGCCCCTGCTAAGTTGTGCAATCGAGGGGCAAACAAAGGCGATTGATTTCGTGTTGATGACAAGCTGATGCCACATACGCAACAGCTGTTCAAGGGTTTTGGGCTCTGCCCGGCCCTAACGGACACAGATCCTCCCGGCAACGGACAGCGGACATTTACGGACACACGTGTCTCTGACACTGGTATTGGTATTGGTGTTTGTGTTTGAGTGTCGGTGTCTGACAGCTGACATTTGTCAAACGCTTAACAAAATTTGTCATATGCCCGGAGATTTGTGTTCGTGTCCGTATTCCTGTTCCATTCCGTTCCGTTTCAGTGCGTTCCGTTTCCCAGAAATCTGTGGCCAGAAATCCGGGGGGTTCGAGGGTCGATGGAATGGGTTTTCGGAGCGGCTCTTGGGTTTGAAGCGAATCTGGACTACTTTTATGCAAATCACTTGACAAACTGTCGTCACCATGGCCGCCGATGAGTGACAGTTGGGTTGAATAGCAGGGGCTGATGGGGGTTTTTAGAGGGGGGTTATATCTGCCCGGGGTCGAGCAGATGACAAATGCATGTGTTGACAAAACGGACGACAGCCCCGAGGAGGAGGAGGAGGAGGAGACGGCCAGAGCAGAGTGCTTGGAAATTTTGATTTATAGTCCAATGTGCATAATTAATGTGCAAATGATAGGCATACATCAAAGCCCGAACACACAAACACACCCACACACACGCACACGTAGCACCAGAATGCACTTGAAGAAAAAGTAGAGTGGAATCGAGTTGAAAGCATTGTGTGTTTTATCCTCCAGAGCTCTCGAAGCTTGGTATGGACCATAACTCGATTCCCATCGCACCCAGCAAGCCATAGCTAGTATTTGTGTCCGTACCATTCATTTCGCCGAGTGTAGCACCCACCCGGAACTGGGCCTTCATTCGATTGCTCTTCTGCCCAAAAATCCATGCATATTTTGATTGCCTACTTATATTTCCATCCATCTCGTCCAAAAACCAAAAAAACAAAAACCAAAAAACACGAATAAATTCCCGCAGAGCGTCGACTCGGACGTGAACTCCCTGAACATGAACTCCACGGAGAACGAGGTGCCCGAGGTGGAGTCCTCCAGCGAGATCCTCATCGACGACCACAAGCCGAGCCACTCCAACGACGAGAGCTGGACGGATGTCAACCTGAACGAGGACGCCGCCGTCCAGGCCGCCAGCGCCGGTATGGTGGTGGGTCTCGTGGATCCCGTCCATCCCGGCCAGGACAAGCACGACGTCCACAACGCCCACAACCCCCAGCAGCAGCAGCAACAGCAGCAGCAGCAGGCGGGCCTGAATCCCCAGCTGGTCCACGGATCGGAGCGGGGCGACAAGCCGGACTCGGAGATATCGGTGGTCCGGGTGCCAGACGGTTATCCCGGCTCCGGAGTCAACTCCGGCCACAACCAGGGTGTGAGCAACCAGCGAACCCGGCCCGAAGAGCTGCCCATGAAGGCACCCGCCCTGGTGGCTCAGCTGCCGCTTACCACACCCTCGCGGGAGGCGAGTCTCACCCAGAAACTGGAGATCGCCCTGGGACCAGTGTGTCCGCTGCTGCGCGAGATCATGGTGGACTTCGCGCCCTTCCTGTCCAAGACCCTGGTGGGCTCGCACGGCCAGGAGCTGCTGATGGAGGGCAAGGGTCTGACCACCTTCAAGAACTCGCACTCGGTGGTGGAGCTGGTGATGCTGCTGTGCTCCCAGGAGTGGCAGAACAGCCTCCAGAAGCACGCCGGCCTGGCCTTCATCGAGCTGATCAACGAGGGCCGCCTGCTCTCGCACGCCATGAAGGACCACATCGTCCGGGTGGCCAACGAGGCGGAGTTCATCCTGAACAGGATGCGGGCCGACGACGTCCTCAAGCACGCCGACTTCGAGTCGCAGTGCGCCCAGACGCTGCTGGAGCGGCGCGAGGAGGAGCGCATGTGCGACCACCTGATTACCGCCGCCCGGCGCAGGGATAACGTCATCGCCAGTAGGCTGCTGGAGAAGGTGCGCAACATCATGTGCAACCGGCACGGCGCCTGGGGCGACTCCTCCTGCACCACGACCTCCGGCGGCGGCGCCATCATCGGGGCCGTTCAGAAAAGCCCCTACTGGAAGCTGGACGCCTGGGAGGACGACGCCCGCCGGCGCAAGCGGATGGTGCAGAATCCCCGAGGCTCCTCCCATCCGCAGGCCACGCTGAAGGCGGCCCTGGAGAACGGAGGCCCCGAGGACGCCATCCTGCAGACGCGGGACGAGTTCCATACCCAGATCGCCGTGTCGCGATCCCATCCCTCCGGCCAGCACAACGGTGAGCTGCTGGACGACGCCGAGCTGCTCATCGAGGACCGGGAACTGGACCTCGACCTCACCGGACCCGTCAACATCAGCACCAAGGCCAGGCTCATCGCCCCGGGCCTGGTTGCCCCCGGCACCGTGTCCATCACCAGCACGGAGATGTTCTTTGAAGTGGACGAGGAGCACCCGGAGTTCCAGAAGATCGACACGGAGGTGCTGAAGTACTGCGACCACCTGCACGGCAAGTGGTACTTCTCGGAGGTGCGGGCGATATTCTCGCGCCGGTACCTCCTCCAGAACGTGGCCCTGGAGATCTTCCTGGCCAGCCGGACCTCCATCCTGTTCGCCTTCCCCGACCAGCACACCGTGAAGAAGGTGATCAAGGCGCTGCCGAGGGTGGGTGTGGGCATCAAGTACGGCATTCCGCAGACCCGGAGGGCGTCCATGATGTCGCCGCGCCAGCTGATGCGCAACTCGAACATGACCCAGAAGTGGCAGCGGCGGGAGATCAGCAACTTTGAGTATCTCATGTTCCTCAACACGATCGCCGGCCGGACGTACAACGACCTCAACCAGTACCCGATCTTCCCCTGGGTGCTGACCAACTACGAGTCCAAGGACCTCGACCTCAGCCTGCCCTCCAACTACCGGGACTTGTCGAAGCCCATTGGAGCATTGAATCCCTCGAGGCGGGCCTACTTCGAGGAGCGGTACGAGAGCTGGGACAGCGACACGATCCCGCCCTTCCACTACGGCACCCACTACTCCACGGCGGCCTTCACCTTGAACTGGCTGGTGCGGGTGGAGCCGTTCACCACCATGTTCCTGGCCCTCCAGGGCGGCAAGTTCGACTATCCCGACCGGCTCTTCAGCTCGGTGTCCTTGTCCTGGAAGAACTGCCAGCGGGACACGTCGGATGTGAAGGAGCTGATCCCGGAGTGGTACTTCCTGCCCGAGATGTTCTACAACTCGTCCGGCTACCGGCTGGGCCATCGCGAGGACGGCGCCCTGGTGGACGACATCGAGCTGCCGCCTTGGGCGAAGAGCCCCGAGGAGTTCGTCCGCATCAACCGGATGGCGCTGGAGTCGGAGTTCGTGTCCTGCCAGCTGCACCAATGGATCGACCTGATCTTCGGCTACAAGCAGCGCGGACCGGAGGCCATTCGGGCCACCAATGTGTTCTACTACCTCACCTACGAGGGCAGCGTCGATCTGGACGGTGTCCTGGATCCGGTGATGCGCGAAGCGGTCGAGAATCAGATCCGCAACTTTGGCCAGACGCCCAGCCAGCTCCTGATGGAGCCGCATCCGCCGCGCAGCTCCGCCATGCACCTCTCGCCGATGATGTTCAGCGCCATGCCGGAGGACCTCTGCCAGATGCTCAAGTTCTACCAGAACTCCCCGGTCATCCACATCTCGGCGAACACCTATCCGCAGCTGTCGCTGCCCTCGGTGGTGACGGTGACGGCAGGCCACCAGTTCGCCGTGAATCGATGGAACTGCAACTACACCGCCTCCGTCCAGAGCCCCAGCTACGCGGAGTCGCCCCAGTCCCCGGGCTCCAATCAGCCGCTAACCATTGATCCGGTTTTGGGTGAGTATTCTCGAGAGGATTGCCCTTATTTTTATTTAATCCTTGCATCCTTTCCCAGCTGTCCATGGCACTAATAACAACAGCAATGCCGTCAGCCGCCGGCACTTGGGTGATAACTTCAGCCAAATGCTGAAGATCCGTTCCAACTGCTTCGTGACCACCGTGGACTCGCGGTTCTTGATCGCCTGCGGCTTCTGGGACAACAGTTTCCGGGTCTTTGCCACCGAAACAGGTAAGAATACCAAGGGTTTCCCACTTCCCCTCTACAATTTCTACCTCCCATTAGCCAAAATCGTCCAGATCGTGTTCGGGCACTTTGGGGTGGTGACCTGCATGGCCAGGTCGGAGTGCAACATCACCTCCGACTGTTACATAGCCTCCGGATCGGCGGATTGCACGGTCCTCCTGTGGCACTGGAACGCCCGCACCCAGAGCATCGTGGGCGAGGGGGATGTGCCCACTCCGAGGGCCACCCTCACGGGTCACGAGCAGGCAGTGACCTCGGTGGTGATCAGCGCGGAACTGGGTCTGGTGGTCTCCGGATCGTCAAGTAAGTCTAATTAGGAGCTCCTCCCGGTTCTAGTTCTGATGATTCCTTCTCCCTAGATGGACCTGTGCTGATTCACACCACGTTCGGTGACCTGCTGCGCTCGCTGGATCCCCCGGCGGAGTTCCATTCCCCGGAACTGATCACCATGTCCCGCGAGGGCTTCATAGTCATCAACTATGACAAGGGCAACGTGGCGGCCTACACCATAAATGGCAAGAAGCTGCGCCACGAAACGCACAACGACAATCTGCAGGTGGGTTAAGGAGTGCTTCCCTATATGATGGTCTATACCATGTCTATGTCTATGTTTTAATTATTTTTTCCAGTGCATGCTGCTGTCACGCGATGGCGAATACCTGATGACCGCCGGAGACCGCGGCATTGTGGAGGTGTGGCGCACCTTCAACCTCGCACCACTCTATGCCTTCCCCGCCTGCAATGCGGGAATCCGCTCCCTGGCCCTCACCCACGACCAGAAGTAAGTACCCTCTTCTTATCCATAGTGTGTAAGGATCTTGAGTTGTTCATAAGGAATAGGACCTCTGAAAAGTCAAAGTTCGTGTGCAAACTATGGTACTAAACCGAAACAAACCCCGATATTTCTTAGATACCTGCTGGCTGGACTCTCGACTGGATCGATCATAGTATTTCACATTGACTTCAACCGCTGGCACCACGAATACCAGCAGCGCTACTAAAAGCAGACAGCCAGGACATTCCAAGGCAGGCCAGGACGACCGAAAACTGGCCGCTGAGATGTACTTAAAGCAAAATGGCGGCGACTATGCAGCAAACGGAGGTTTTTTCTATATAGACCTTTACAACTCTAGGCTAGTAAGCGGAACTACGTTTTTTTTTTTTGTGTCTAGTAATAATTGTGCATTAGTGTGTTGGTCTGACAGCCAGTTTAAACAAAGTAAAACCTAAAAAGCTATAGAAAAGCAAAAAAAAAAAAAACAAAAACGATAAAGTCATAATTTTTTTTACTAGTATTACGAAAAATGTATGTTAAGTTATGGCAATGGAAAGTTATAGACCGGAAGTGGAGAGTGCGAGAGTGGAGAGTAGAAGGCGGCAAGATGGCGGCTTAAGCAAGTAGTTGAAAATAAGACAAATGAAGTTAGTGTTTATAAAACGCAATAAGCAGTTAATAAATATGAACTAATTCCACATGCATTATAATACCAACGTAGCAAAGTTTTCAAAAGAACAAAAAAAATATAAAAAGATTTAAAAAGAGAAACCTAAACGGAAGCTGCGCAACGCAAACGAAACGAGAAACAAATGAAACTAAAGCGGCCAAAAGGACATAGTGGGGAGAGTAGAACGGAAAGCAAAAGCCAATTTTTAATTATAGCGTTAGTTCTTTGTGACAACAACAAAAAATACAAAAAAAAATTAAGACACTCACATACACACACACACACACCAGGTAACAGAGCAAGGACAATGCCAAGGCAATAAAGCGGAAACGAAACGAAATGGAATGGGAATGGAACGGAAGTGAGGCGAGGCGAGGTGAGGCGATGACATACACACACGCATATGCATATGTATTTGTAGGTAAACTAAGCCAACTCAACTTTACTTCAGCTAACTAGACCCCCACTACACACACTAAGCCCTAAGCTCTAAAACTAAAACTAAATTACCCAAATCACAAGCCTCAAAAGCAAACAAGAACATACTATACATATATATAGACCATATATATATGATATATATATAGGTAGTACGTGTGTCTGAACAGATGCAATTTATGCAAAAGCTATTCAACCGAAAGGGCAGCGATTTCGTTTTTCGTTCTCGTTTCACAAATATCACGCATACGCCATGTTGCACCGCTCATGGAAGTAGAAAACAAAAAAAACAAAACAAAAGCAAGCTAAAATAAATACAAAATACAAGTTAAAACAAAAAACAATCGATATAAAAAATATGTAGCTTATAGGTATATAATATATACTTTTTCTTCTTAATTGTTTTTCAATTGTTTGTTTTTTTTTTTTTTGTATTAATTATATTAGCTATATATTCGTTAGGTAAGCAAAAGTGAAGTGAGAAATTTTTCAATTGCGTCCAAAATTAGCCTATTCCCTAGCACAACAGCACACGATTGGCTTCCTCGACATGTATCCTTGAGCCCCCCAACCATAACGTCCAGGATAAAGTGTTTTTTTTTTTATACGTATCCGTGTCTGGAAGACAGGACTTTGCTGCGAGACCGAAAAAGCAATGAAGAGAGCTGAGAAGTTGAAAGGTTATAGGAGAACGAACAATCCATCCATGGCACACCACTCTGGCACTTACCGCATAGGGATTTGTATATAAAAACTATATGCAAATGGGGCGACTACTGAACCAAAACGCAAAGGACATACTTTAAGTATGCAGGAGTTCGAAACACACACTCGGTTGTAAAAGCGCAAAAAAAACAAATGCAAGACCCCTCCTCAAAAATATTTCAAATATAAACTAAATATACTTAAATGTTGTGTCCTTCGGTTTTTCTCCTTTTTGTTGGTTTTTCTCGAAAATTAACGATATTTTCTTTTGCGTGCTTGTATGGAGTTGTGCGTGTGTGTGTTTTGTGTTTAATTTTCACAGCAAATCCAGTTCGCTTGAGACCCACTCTCTGTGTGTACATATTTAAGAATAAATACATAAATTATACAAATTATAATAATAATCGGCAATGGCAGCGTTTGAGTTTGTTCCGGGCTTCGGGCGAGCGGCGAAAAAATTGCAACTATTAGTAATTTAAATGTTGTACATAAGTCCATAGAGCAGTGTCCTGCCAGGAGTGAGGGAGTGAGGCGTATTTTTAAACGAGACTCAGAACGGAAGCTAAGCAGCCAACCGGAAACGGGCAAAGTGCAGGACGGCGCAGGAAAAGAATTCAAATCAAATCAAATTAAAGGAAATGCAATGAAGCGGCTGGCGGAAATCTTGAACTCGATTAAAAGTCGGGCGAGAAACTTCAAGCTAAGGGCTAACTGAATAACTGAGTAAAAAAAGGATAACAAGGATATAGACAGCTGAGCAGTAACTACATACAATTTTTTTTTTTTTACAAGCACACACACATACCGCATAGAGAAAATATGTAGAGAGAGGATGTGTGTGGATCCGTATATCACGATATCACGATATGATATGATGGATATACATATGATAACGTTTAGCTATTAACAGAGGAATATTAACTGCGGACGCCAACAATTTTTAATTACGCACTTTTTATAGAACTTAGCGATTGATGAGCAACATCCGAGTGGCTAGTCGTATTGAAAATTAAAAAACTAAATATAAATAAATAAATTACATAATGTTTTTATTAAAGAAAGCAAAAAACAAAGAAATGGCTGACAATTTTAAATTTATACAAAAACGAAAAACACTTCAAAAAAGGTAATTAAATGGAAAGAAAAATTAAGAAAAAAATGAATATTTAAGAATTTACTCATGCACGGGCAAAAATTATTTCATATAATTATTTACACAGGCGAACGGGAGAAGCATTTTAAAATTAGTGAATAAAAATCAGACAAAAATTAGAGGCAAAGTTAAAGCTAAAGGACACGCACACACACCACACACAGTCACTCCGACACACAGACACTCGGACACTCCGACACAGACATAAAATATCGAAATATATATAGATATACGTGTGTATATATATTTTGTCAACATTTGTTAAATAGCAGACAACAACAACAACAACAACAACAACAAAAGAGAGCCAAAATCTGTGCAAGACAAAAATAATGAATAAAAAATAAAAACAATTTAATCTATTTCAGCAAAAAAAACACGATACATACCAACAAAAAAAAGGGATAAAGCTACAAAATAAATGTTCATTAATATTGCTAAACAAAACAATTTATATATATATATATATACAAATATGAGAATATTTTTTTTTTTTTGCAAAAAGCAAGCAAAGAATTAAAAAACTAAATAATAAAAAAATGAAAAGCCTAGTGGTTGGTGAGAGAGAAGGCGGGTTGGAGCAGGAGAGTTAGCTAGAAAGGGAAGGACAAAGGCAAACAATTTATGCATATTAAAATTAAATTTAAAATACGCTACAATTCTAACAAAATAAGTTTACACACACACACACACAGTCCCCCTCCCCCTCTTATCCCACAAAGAGGATAAACAGAAAACTAATAATAAAATAATTAAATACAAAATGGATTAAATTGCATGAACGAAAATTTAAAGGTAATTTAAAGTTGATAAATTAAATTTAAGCTACAAATCTAACAAGTGACAGTGAGCAAGCATTAAAAGTAACAACAAACAAACAAAAACAACAAAAACTTAACAAACAAATACAAAATACAAAAAACCAGAAAAAATTATTATGTTCAATACAGAAAACAAAAAATGCAAAACAAAAACAAAAACGAGTAAAAATACAAAATAAAACCAAAACAAAAACAATGAAATCTTAAAAAAGTCGCGATTGTTTGTTTATTTTTGGGGGGATTGTGGATTGCAGTTTTTTGTTGGTTTTTCCACAGCAAAATCGATTCATCTTGGCCAAATCCTCTTTTCGGCTGTGACCTGATTTCCCGACAGAATCGCGCTGCTTTTCTGCTGGCTTGCAATAATTTCATTTTCCCAACAATTGAACAGCCAGAAAGGAAAATCCCCAGCGCATCTACAAAAGAAACGCAAAAAAGTGGCAATAGAGCGGTCCCGGCCACACAGTGAATAATTTCCACATTTTATGCTTCAGGTTTCTATTTTTCAGCTTGAAAGCACCCAAGTGCCAGTGTACTTAACCTTTTCTCCCAGTGCAGGTGGAGAGAACAATTCCATGGCCTAAGCAATTAAAGCGCCTCGTTCGCCTTCCTTCGCTGCACGCTCCAATTGCGATTTCAGTTGCAATTGCAGGTTGCAGGTTGCTAGTTGCAGGTTGCTGCGGGGAATTCTCTGGAAAGTATGCTATATTTTGCAGGCTATTTTTTTTTTGGCAGGAAAAAGATAAAAGAGAAGCTACAGCAGAAGGAGCAGAAGAAACGGTAAAGACAACTTTGGGGGCAGCTGTCTAAACACGGAAAATGCATCAAATTGCAACAGCAACGTTGTCATCAAAAGTCATATCTTTTTCATATTATTCCAGGGATAGGAGAGCCAGAGCCCAGAGAGGAGGAGGCTATAACCGCCACCCCGCCACCTCCCGCCACCGACGCCTGTGTGTTTTCTGGAGCGTGTAATATCCGTTTCCTGCATTTCCGGTTGCAGCGAAGGACGTGGCGAAAGTTGTCGGCAAAATTGCTGGCGGAAATGCTGCAAAATTAACGAGCAACGCGGTTAGCTGGTGAGTTCTTTTCGGGCAAAAGGAGCCAGGGAAGTGGGATGGAGTTGTCCCATCCAGGTGGCAGACGCCTCCATTCACTATTTACACAAGGACAGCAGGATCTGCCATCCAGCAAGCCAGCCAAAGTAACTGCAAGCCATTTTTTACTCACCAGAGGTTTTCCCCATCTACAGGTTTTTTTTCCCAGCAATTTTTCCTTTTTCTTTGTCACTTTCTTAGTTTTGCTCGCTTCGCAAAATGCAAATTTTAGTGCAGTGGCGTAGGGCTACTGAGCTGCCTGGAGGGGGGAGCCTATAGCGAAGGATAGCAGGAGGCTATAGTCCAGTAGCAGGAGCAGCAGCAGCAGCTGCAAATTAGACGCATCGCTTAACCAGCAATGACATAAAGCAGTCAAATGGCAGCAACAACGCTAACAACGTCCTGGAGTCGTCATCATCGTCGCATCCTTCGGATGTATATCCTTTCGAGTCCCGCATACTTTCGGCTTTAAATCTACATCATCTATGTCCCAACATAACTGCGAAAAAAAGTTGGAATTTAAACAGAGATGGGGCATAACTACTGAAAGAGATGGCAACTCAAATAAAGCATATAAAATTAATGAGCTCGTCACGTTCTCGGTTCGGGGTCACCTTAATTATGGCCACAATTAACAGTTGCTTTACTGCCATCTCCCGCAGAGAGCAGGAGGAGTGAGAGCGGAATAGATAGACAGACAGACACATTTCATTTGGCAGGCAGGTGTTTCTCGTCCTCGTTCTCCTCATCCTCCTCCTCGTCCTCGTCCTCGTCCTTTCGTCCCTTGCTCTGTGTGTGTAATCTCATTACAAATTCAAATGCCCTG